TCTTGATTTCAGCAGGTCATGATCCCAGGGTTGTGGGATCGAGCCCGGCATTGGGCTCTACAATGAGCATGGAGCTTGCTCAAGATTCTCTCTCTCCCTCTCCCCCTCTCCCCAACTTGTGCTGGCACTCTCTAAGTAAGTAAAATAAATTTCAAGTCTTATTTGGCAGTGTTTTGTGGCTCTTCTGTGGAAGTCACTGTAGTTGTCTTAAGCCTCTCAAGGTAGTGTAAAAATATGTCCTAAGAAAGCTGGGGAACTGATGATAGGACTTTAATGATTTGTCTTCCTCTATGAAAACAGGAATAAAGAAAATGGAAAGACACATGCTTTACAAAACCTTCAGGGTTTTCAAAGGCTCATAATAGTCTAGAACTGGAAGATACATGATTAGTCTCTCTTGGAGTTCATGAGTAATAAAAAAAGAGTATGATGGTTTGAGTTAGTTTGGGTCCTACCGAGACCCCAACTTAATCATTCAAGATGTGATTCACAGAAAGATGTGATTCACAAGATTCAAGATGTGATTCACAAAAGGCAGGAAGCAAACTAGACCCATTGCCTCTGATTCTTATACAGGAATAAAACAAACTAATAGTGGCTTTCTTCTGGAAGAAAGCAGAAGTACATCCGTGGTTCTTATGGTCAGAGACAGGGTTGCTCTTATAGCCAAGTTTCGTTCGTGGTGATACGACCCACGTCCAAACAGAAACCGAGACGATCTTGCTCATGCTGACACAAATCACAGGAAATGGAGGCAATCTCAGGCATTTAATGCACAAGGGGCAACCAGAAAATTCTACTGGGAACAGGAAGAGCCCACAGCCCTGGTATTATCTGGGGTGGACTGAACAAAGATGAATACAGAGCTGGGAGCTAATTGGCACAGAATAAAACAGAGTTTAAACTGTGGTTCTTCACTAACTCCAAATTCATGAACTAACTTCACTAACACACTCCTGAGAACAGTGAGTACTCTAACGGATGTGACGACTCCTTTCCCCCCGCCTCTGTGAACACATCAATAACCTAAAAGCCTGAATGGTTAAACCAAAGAAGAAGAGAAAGGCAAGCCACATGCCCTGAAGTGATCAAGAATTATTTTTTCCTCTCTTTGTACACAAATGTCATTCATTTTTCATGGAAATCTGTAGTCTCAGATGAACCTCAGAACGAGGAGTAATATTCCTTTTGTTTTACAACATTGGAAGTAGTAGTTTCACATGGATAGAGCAGAGCTCACTTCTCTTAAAGAAAACAAACTTCTATTCCGATAACCAGACGTGACTTCAAGTTAGACTGGTAATATCTCCATTATTTTCGCATTCAAATAAAAAATGTAGAAAAATTACATGTCTCTCTTGTTTCTCCATTAATTTTTTTGTTTTCAACGTTTATTTATTTTTGGGACAGAGAGAGACAGAGCATGAACGGGCGAGGGGCAGAGAGAGAGGGAGACACAGAATCGGAAACAGGCTCCAGGCTCTGAGCCATCAGCCCAGAGCCCGACGCGGGGCTCGAACTCACGGACCGCGAGATCGTGACCTGGCTGAAGTCGGACGCTTAACCGACTGCGCCACCCAGGCGCCCCTCTTGTTTCTCCATTAAACACAGTTCCTAAAGGATTTTAAAAGCTGGATCATTTTAATTTTTTTAGAAGAATTTTATAACAAATAAGTAGCCAAACTATCTATGTGGAAGATTGTGCTTTTGAATTTTCTTAAAGGTCAGCTCACCTTTACATGTATTTTTAAGAGGTAGTATTTTTGGTTTGAAGTACCTGAGCTTTGGAGTCTTCTCATCTTACTAGCTGTGTTAATTAAGATAATTACATGTATCAGCTGGAATATATTCCATGAAACATGGCAGTAGCCAGATTGAAAGAGGCAACTACGGCGATGTTGGTCAGAAACAATGTGGAAGATTTTCTCATTCCCTTACCCCCTTTTCTTTTTTTTCAAATGTTGATTTATCTATTTTGAGAGAGAGAGAGAGAGCGCAGGGGAGGGGGAGCGAAAGGGGGAGAGAGAGAATCCCAAGCAGGCCTCTGCACTGTCAGCACGGAGCCTGATGCAGGGCTCGAACTCATGAAGCCCTGAGATCATGACCTGAGCCGAAACCAAGAGTTGGATACTCAACCGAATGAGCCACCCAGGTGCCCCTAGCCCTCTTTCTATGATGCACATACAGACATTATTCCAACTCCCTACACATGGACCCTACTGGGCCATACCCGACGGCTCCATGAGGCATTCTCAGCAAGCTGGAACTGTTTGTAAGACAGAGCCATTGAAGCCAGAGGCCTTCCTATGCTAAGGCCAATTCATGACGAAGTGATGAGACTATTCGTACCTGTGAATAGATCCTCTCAAAACAGCATTATTAATGTGTTAATGATACATAAAAATATTCCACAGGTCAATACTACTTTGCCACTTTCAAAAAGCTTTTACACACATCACCTCAGGTGTGAACCAAGGTGCCTATTTATGACAGGGTTTCCTGTCTGCCTGCCTCTTTTTGAGGTCACTGTCTCAGAAAGAGAACCGCACATACACAGCAGAGCTGTTTATCCAGCAACTTCAGGGCAGTATGCCTGACAGACTTGCAGAAAATAACATATTTACTGTAAATCCCAGATATAGTCACCTCAATTAAGTACTTGGTTTTGCCGAGACATACCTTGGTCAAAACTCGTAATAATCTGAACCTGAGGAGCAAAAAGACCAAAATGGAGGGCAAGGGGTGGTTTTTATTTTTAGGTCATCAAAAAATACAAAACTGTTGGTCAGGATGACCCATGAGGGAAGAAAAACAAATTCGCACTCTGACTAACAAGGCCTGCTGTGCCTGAGTCACAACCCGAATCAAGCAAGGCCTCTGAAAACAGGAGGAAAAGCATTTAGGAGCCATGCCATAATCGAGCAATGGGCCTCATAACTTGTTGGTCTCCTTGCTGAATTACTTCAACACCCGGATGAAGTCCAGCAGAAGAGAGGTCAGCCAGTTTAAAACTCATCCTCTTTTCTACCAAGAATGTTTTCATTAACCTTGAGGAGGAGTTTAGGAATGACTTTCTTAGGTGTGAACATGAAAATAACGCTAGTTTCGTCAACCTTGGGGAAAAGACTCCTTCCCAAGTCATCTCCCAGGCATTGTGCACACCTCTTGAAGGACGGATTAAGCTTGCAAAGGGAGAAGGCAATCGTTCTATAGACTTCACTTCTATCAAGTGGAAAGGGATTGTCTTTATAAAGGAAACATCTCAACAGCATAAAGCATGTTGACTGAGCATAGAGGTTTGAGGTCTTTGGTTTTTTTCTCAGTGTTGCTTTGCTCCTAAAATTCAGGGAGAATCCAACATTGCATTTCAAATTACTCAGTCTTTTCTGTTTAACTTGGAAACTCAAATCCATAAGAGGTTGCACTGCTGATAAATATGATGATGATGAATTTCATCTGAATTCCCAACCGATTGTATGTCTCTTAAAGATATTTTTCTCTCTGCCTCATCAATTTCTCACAGCGTCCAGGCTGCTTTTCTGGGGAAACTACCACAATACTTGATCTGACTTAAGTTGATGCTCGCATGATATTTTTATCGTAAAGGTTGGAAACAGTAGTGCATAGAAGGAATAAAAAGTCAAAGAAGCTAATTGAGCAAACTTCCCTGCTTAATTGCTACAGAGTGTATTTGGTTCCAAGGCTAGCCAGATACCTGGCAGCAGAAAGAATAAAGCTGGTTTCACCCCAGGGCTGCCATCCCCTTGCTGGTCTACCCGTGAAAACAGGCAAAATAGCAAAATAACTGGCTCCAAGTTTCTTATTCCCAGCCTCATTTCCCACTAAGGGACAGAGAGAGATCTCTCAAGGCCACTCCTCTGACATAAGGTCAAGGTGAATCACTGACTGATTGTCATTCCATTCAGATTTCCTTCCAACTGGCATGTTCCCCTCGGACAGTGACAATTAACGAATAATTATTGCAAAGATGGTACAGTGCTCAAAAAAATAGTGAAGAATCGCCACTTTAAAACATGCCACCACCTTCACAGTGACATTTAAGCCATGCATTTGTTTTGTTTATGGGTGATTTGTTGAGGTTGGCATTCTTGTTTTCTAATAACTCTCCATATGTTCTCTTCTAGTGCTAGGGAAGGCACTCTAACATAACAATTAAAAGCACAGGCTTTGGGATCAAACTGGGGCACAAATTCTAACTCTGCAACCTAACAGAAAGTGCTAGGCAGCTGTCTTTCCCACAGAGCTGAAATGATGATAATAAACAAGCACATAAACTAACCTGCCAATTAGGTTAATATTGATACCCTGACTCTTCAAGGACATTTGATTTTATGATTTGAATAGTATGACAGGGTGCAAGTCATGCCTCAGAAACAGGCTTGGCTTTATAACCATTTTTCTTCACAACCATCCATCTATCTGTTGTGCATTTGTGGAGGACAGAACAGGAGCTAACCTTTTAATAATGCTCGTAAGTGTGTGGGTTGACTGGGTGGTTTTGCTGATTTGGGCCGGGATTTCGTGATCGTGGCTGATCTGGTTCCTGTGACTGGCATGCAGACTGGGAGCTAGTTGATCTAGAATGGCCTCACTTGTATATGTGGTGGTTGTTCTTGGCTCCCAGCTGGGGCAGTGGGGATAACTGGACCGTGTGTGCCTCTTCCTCAAGCAGGCTAGCTCTGGGTTGGTCATAGGAGGTCACAGGCTCCAAGAGCAACAAGAAAGTAAGCCACAGGGCGCAAGAATTTTACAAGTCTGTTTTTGATTTTCTAAAATAGGTACAAGGCCAATTTAGATTCAAAGCATGGAGAGAGACGCTACTTTATGGGGGAAGAGCTACAAAGGTTTTGGCTATTTTTGCAACCTACCCGTGCCTTTTGATCATCACTTTAATACTTTCTCTTTCAAGTCAACTTGGTGCATCATATTAGGAAATCCTTGACCTAATTCTATCTGCTTTTTTCCCTCTACTCCACCAGGTTTCCTCTGGGTCCATTCAGGAAAGTGTGAAAGACCGAGTGATTGACTCAAGACTGCAGCTGCTTATCACTAAGCCAGGACTCTTCACATGCATAGCTACTAACAAGCACGGAGAGAAATTTAGCACTGCAAAGGCTGCGGCCACCATTAGCATAGCAGGTAAGATGGATTTTCGTAATTGCATTGCTCTGGGAGAAGGGAGAGTTGGCACTATTCCACACAACATTTGGGGGGAAATCTGTTTTGTTTCTTACTCCAGTCCCCTTTGGGCTATTTCTCCTCCTTGGGGACATTCCAGAGGTTGATCTAGATCATTGACAATGGGAGATTTATCACCTCGAAAATGAAATCCTCAGATACCTGTCCTAGTGATGGGTAACAGCTTCCAGGAGTTCATTTCTTTTTTCCCCCTCCCTTTTTGTCTTTCCTCTCTCCCTCCTTCCTTCTTTTCCTGTTTTACCTTTTCCTTCTTTCCTTTCCTTCCTCCTTCTCTCTCTCTCTTCCCCCCCCCCCCCCTCTTTTTTTTTCTTTCATAGAGCCAATCACACTTTCCAGGGCTCTCAAAGAGTAAGTTGGCAGATATTTAACATGGTTGTGCCAATTTCTGCATGGCTATTTCTTGAGGGCATTTTTACTTATGAGTATTTGATCTACTTTGTGGCCTTTCCTTCTCCTGTTTCATGAAAGTGATAGCAAGGCTTACAGGTGTTTTCAAGGAAAAGAGCTGACATATGGATTTCTAGAATATTTGTGTTGAGTTATAAAGGTTTATTTTTAAAATATAAATGCCCCCAAAGGCTTCTGAGAACATTTGTGGAATTCCTAGAGATGGAAATAATCCCTGTATCAGGAAATGCCAGGCATGTTACACTCAGAATGTGTCTACTGCCCAAGGGTCAGCAGAGATGCTTGGCCTCACATGTAAGGCAGGCACTGGCAGAACCTGTGCCCAGGGCCAGCTCCCCAGATCCTGCTATTTCTTATGGCTGTGCCACTTCTTTGATCTTCCACGATGGGGAACTTGCTAGTAATGTTTGGGATTTTAACATGAGGGGAATAGAGACCACAGAGAACTATACAGGGAGAATTGGACAAGGCTGGCCTTCTAAAGCATGCCTGTGAAGTAAGAAGATTCAAGGATTCCTTCTGCCTTCTTCTCCAGGGATATATCTGCTTGTAGTACCTTGATATAGCATATCAGTTATTTTAGAATTTTCACTGATGGGAAATGATTTCTCCCAGAGAATGGTGAGAATTCTAAAAGTACATTCAACTCAATTTAACAAGTAATAAGGAAACAATTATTGTTATATATAGTACCTTGTTTATAAAATACTCTTGCATGCATTTATTAACTACTTGATCCAGGCCATCATTAGGCAGAATACAGGATGCACACTTACGTAACAAATGGGATAATTAACAACAGGGTGCCTGCCTCCAAGGGACTCTCAATCTAGAAAGGAAGTCAGTTACCCATATACATTATGGCACAGACCATGTTCTATTGCAGAAGCATAAACAGAGTATAAGAGCAGAATGAGAGAGACAGAGAGAGTTTAAGTGTGGGAAAGAGCAACCACTTAAGCAGGAGACAGGAGCATGAGACAGAAAGGTTAAACTGTGTTCAGGAAACGGCAAGTGGGTTGGCAGGCTTGGAGCACGATGGAGACTGGGAGTGAGGTGGAGAATGGGAAGAAAGGTTTGGAATGTGGGCTCGGGCCAAGGTGTGAACAGCCCGAGTAGGTTAAACGTGTTCTTCAATCGGTGGGAAGTCATCTCATTATTTTAGAGGAAGGAGACCAGCGATATGGTCAGATATATCCGTTGTCAAGTTAACAGATGTTGGGTGGAAAAGAGTAGGAGGCACGTGTGCAGGTAGGAGGCTATTCCGGAGTCTGGAAGAATAACGAAGGTCTGAACAACACCTGCAGGACTTGGGGCAGGGAAGACAGATACAGGAGACCTGTCAGGATAAAACCATAGGAGCTAAATGCTAGAATGTAGCAGTGGAGTAGAATGCGTCAAGATGTGACAGCTTGAGGAAGGTGTCGAAGACAAATAATAATGGATAAAAAAAAATTTAAAAACAAGACCATGAGGAGGTCCAGGAGATAAGAATTAAAATTTTTGATGCATTTGAATAACCTGGGATTATTCTAGTCTATCTTATGTTTTATTTGATATTTGATCTAAAACCAATGTTAAATAAATAAATACCTATTTATAGTATCTATCCACCCTGGAGAGAGAATGAGAGAGAGAGAGACAGAGAGACAGAGAGACAGAGAGAGAGAGAGAGAGAGAGAGAGAGACATTTACATATGAATACTCAAATCAAATAAAATAAACGGATTTAATCCAGTTTAACCTATACCTCCACAGGGTAGAAGAGAAAAATTAATGTTGCTAATCTTGAGATAATTATTCAGTCTTTCACATATTCACTCCTTGCCAGGGCTCTTCCTTCCCTTCTTCCTGCCTCTCCCTAGACGGCAGGGGAAAAGGGACTTGGATACATGCTGTGGCGTCCTCTGGAACAAACCCCTACCCCATTCTCTGGTGAAATCTACAGCTGGAGAACTCGTGATCTCATCTCTTGGCTTTGTTAGGACCCAGAGGATCCCCCTGGCTGGCTCGGCACCTTTGAGGCTTTGAGGCTCCTCCTGTAACAGCACAGTCCTCTACATCTCAGTCACATCCTTCATCAAGCCCCTCTCTAGAGTCTACTTTGCAACCTCGGCAACGAGGTCACCCTGTCTCTCCCTACGAAGGCGGGCCTGCTGAATTCCAAGTCAGCTCCTTCCTTATCTGGAGCCTGAAGTAACTTCTGGATCACATTCATGTTATATAAAATCCAAGAGAGTCAGACTGATTGACCCAGCTCTGCTGTCTACCCACCCATGTCATGCTACCATTTTTACACAAACGTGGCCATCCCATGTCAGAACAAGGGATCCCTAAAACGTTCCCTGCTTCTAGTTCCAAATAAGTCAGGAAAACTCCCTCTGCTTTGGCTTTTTCCTTAATTTATACCGCCCTTCTAGGATTTCGGTCAGAGAAAGGAATCTATAAAATGTATATGTGAACTCTTAATTCCTCTACCTTCCTCCTTTCCACCACATACCAAGCTGGAGGGACTCCTGTTTAGTGTAGCAACCTTCAGAGCCTATCATCATAAATACAAAGATGAGGGTGAAGGCAATGCTAGGGCAATAAAGAAGGAGAACCTAGTATAACGGGTATATCTACATCACACCAAGGCAGATTCATTGCATGGACATGATCTTCAAATGCCGAAATGACTACAGAGCATGACTGCTACCATCTTGTATACAGCAACATCACCCCTGCATCCCTGACCTAGCTCTAAGGAGAGCCTGATCCAACTCCATTAATTAGTGGAATATACCAACAGAGGAGACTGTAATACTAAAAAATTAATGATATCTGCTGGTGGTAAAAAGAGCCTTAAGTTATGGCAAGCGGCAGAGAAAGGCAGGGTCTCGGGATGGAGGGAGAAGTGGTCTTAGGCATCAGTACTGAGTGAGGATGGAGGCAATCAGCAATGGTAGCCTGGGGGGAAATAGCAGAAGTATCTGCATGAGGAAAAAGATTGTGGAAATGCATGGATTGGCACACAGCAGCAGAGAGGACTAGAAATCTCCTAGAGCAGCAGAATTGAAAGCAGATGAGAAGCAGTGACCTAAGTAGGGGTAACAGTCATCTAGACTGTAACCAGCAAGGACGTGACTGTAGCCAATGGGCCTGGCAATGCATACTTAGCAAGTGTTAGGTGCTGTAACCGATGTGAACCCTTCTGCACATGGGGAGAAAAATGTGACTAAAATGAGTGAAGAGGGACTCCCTTAAGGAGCTAATTCATAAAAAAAAACGACACGATCTTTCTGTTCATCCCCTGATCTGTTTTTCCTGTTGGGTCCCACTGACTATGAGGCTTGAAGCTCCCCTACCTTTCCTAAAATTTCCCCAGGCAGATCTAATGAGAGTGTCTCATGAGTGCAAGGGAATAGGACTCTGAACCCCAGGAGACATCTGCCATTTTCTCTTCCTCTCCTCGGCCCATTCTTTTTACTTAAGTCTGCTAGATGCCTCATGATGATCCCAGTGCCATCACTGAAAACTACCTCTCAATCCTGGGGTGCTCCCTGAGGCAATATTGCAGGAAAGTGAGGCCACGTTGGTGAAAAACAGATCCACGGAGCCACTTAATTCAGAATCATTTTAAAGAAGCATGGTCTTATGCTCCCCAGACCTCCTGGCGCTTGGATACGGCATCTGCTTTCTGCATTCCTGCTTTCAGCCCCCCTCCTTTGGCCTCAGAGGTGCAGAGCTTTGAGTCAGACATGGTGACTCCTTTTGACTCTCTGGCAATGCTTCCTTACCCAAACTCTCCTTGCTCTCATGTCAGCCATCCCCATCCTCCCCTAGTGTCCTGTAGTCAACGGCCTCCTTTGTCACATTCTCTGTGTTTCACTTTGAAGCTTTTACTCCATCTGTTTATTTACTCATCCCAGCAGGAAGACTGGGAATGGAAAAATCTGATCTGGTGCTCAGGATTATGCCTAATGATATTTCTAGCGCGTGAAGGGAAACAAAAAAATAAAGATCAGCCCTCATTTTCCCAAAACTCTTCCATGTGTATGTCCAAATCCTTATGTGTTGTTCGAGAAATGTGATAGACTTCTTTCTGACTCATTTACATTTGCTGTTAGTCATCAAACGAAGTCAGGAGAACTTCTGGAACCTCTCCCTACGAACCAGGAAGTTGCATTTCCTTCCAGCCACAACCTTGAAAGGCTCAAGTTACAATTTAAAATCACCAGGATGCTGGGTATTTGGCCAGGTGCCTTCTCTTTGTCATTAGAACCCTCGGCCCTATGACAGAGACCAACAAGACAGCCCATGATCCCTGTAATGAGCATCATTCTGAGCCAGGTGCCACCAAAATAGGCACAGGTACTATTTCTACCAAACATTTAAAGAAGAATTATCACCGATGCTTCTCACACTCTTCCAAAAACTGAAGAGGGAGAAATGCTACAAGACTCATTTTACAAGGCCAGCATTACCTTGACATCAAAGTCAGATTAAAGGATACAACAAGGAAACTACAGACCACTTTCCCTGATGAATACGGATGCAAAAATTCTTAGCAAAATATTAGCAAGTCAAATTCAGTAACATATTAAAAAGAGCACTTATCAGAGTGCTCCATCGGTTGGGCATCCGACTCTTGATGTCGGCTCAGGTCATGATCCTAGGATTGTGGGATCGAGCTCCACATCAGTCTCTGTGCTGAGCATGGAGCCTGCTTAATATTCTCTCTCTCCCTCTGCCCCCTCCCCTGCTTGCTCTGTCTCTCCAAAATAAAATACAAAAAAAAAAAAAAAAAAAAAAAAAAAAAAAGGCACTCATCATGACCAAGTGGGATTGATCCCTAGGATGCAGAGATGGTCCAACATATGCAATTAAATAAATGTGATACGCCACATTTATGGAAAGATAAAAACCCTATGATCATCTGAATAGATGCAGAAATGCATTTGAAAAAGTGCAAGATCCTTTCATGATAAAAATGCTCAACAAACTAGATATAGAAGAAACATACCTCAACACAATAAAGGCCATCTATGGCAAACCCACAGCCATCATACTCAATGGTGAGAGGTTGAAAGCTTTTCCTCTAAAATCAGGAACAAGACAAGGGTACCCACTATCACCACTTCTATTCAACATAGTACTAGAAGTCCTAGCTAGAGCAGTTAGGCAATGAAAAAAAATAAAAGACATCCAAATTGAAAAGGAAGAAGAGGGGCACCTGGGTGGTTCAGTCTGTTAAGCGTCCAACTTTGGCTCAGGTCATGATCTCACAGTTCACAAGTTTAAGCCCTACATTGGGCTCTGTGATGACAACTCAGAGCCTGGAGCCTGCTTCAGATTCTCTGTCTCCCTCTCTCTCTGCCCTCCCCCACTTGTACTCTGTCTTTGTCTCTCTCTGTCTCTGTCTCTCTCTCAAAAATAAATAAAACACTTTTAAAATTTAAAAAAAGAAAAGGAAGAAGTAAAATTATCTGTCTGTAGATGACAGGATCTTACATAGTGAAAATCCTAGACTCCACCAAAAAACCATTAGAACTAATCAACAAGTCCAGTAAAGTTGCAGCATACAAATCAACATATAGAAATCAGATGTGTTTTTATACACTAACAACAAAACATCTGAGAAAGAAAAGAAAATCCTCCCATTTACAATGACATCAAAAATAATAAAACACTTAGCAATAAGTTTCACTGAGAAAGTAAAAGATCTGAATGCTGAAAACCAAAAGAAAAGATTTTGATGAAAGAAATTTAAGACAAAAATGAAAAGATATCCTATTTCATGAATCAGAAGAATTAACATTGTTAAAATGTCCATATCACTCAAAGTAAGCTACAGATTCAATGCAACACCTATTAACATTCCCATGGCATTTTTCACAGAAATAGAACAAACAATCCTAAAATTTGTATGGGATCACAAAAGATCATGAACAGCCAAAGCAATCGTGAGAAAGAACAAGGAAGCTGGAGACATCACATTTCCTGATTTCAAACTATATTACAAAGCTATAAAATTCAAAATAGTATGAAATTGGCATAAAAACAGACACAGACCAATGGACTCAAGAGCCCAGAAATAAACTCCCATGTACATAGTCAATTAATTTACTACAAAGAAGCCAAGAATACACAATGGGGGAAGAACAGTCTTTTCAATAAATGGTACTGGGAAAACTGGATAACCATACAAAAGAATGAAACTGGACCCCTACCTTATACAACATACAAAAAGCAACTAAAAATTGATTAAAGTCCTAAACATAAGACCTGAAAAAAAACATAAGCAGTAAGCTCTTTGACATCAGTCTTGGTGATGTCTTTTTGGATATATGTCACCAAAAGCACAAGCAAAAAAAAATGATCAAAAATAAACCAATGGGATTACATCAAACTAAAAGGCTTCTGTACAACAAAGGAAGCCATCAACAAAATGAAAAGGCTTCCTATGAAATGGGAGAAAATATTCTCAAATCATGTATCTGAGAAGGGGTTAATATCCAAAATATATAAAGAGCTCCTACAACTCAAGAGCAAAAGACAAACAATTCCATTTAAAAAAAAATGGGCAATGGGGCGCCTGGGTGGCGCAGTCGGTTAAGCGTCCGACTTCAGCCAGGTCACGATCTCGCGGTCCGTGAGTTCGAGTCCCACGTCAGGCTCTGGGCTGATGGCTCAGAGCCTGGAGCCTGTTTCCGATTCTGTGTCTTCCTCTCTCTCTGCCCCTCCCCCGTTCATGCTCTGTCTCTCTCTGTCCCAAAAATAAATAAACGTTGAAAAAAAAAAAAATTAAAAAAAAAAATTAAAAAAATGGGCAATGGGTCTGAACATTTTCCTAAAGAAGACATATAGATGGCAAACAGGTACATGAAGAGGTCCTCAACATCACTAATCATCAGGGAAATGCAAATCAAAATCACAATGAGGTATTACCTCATACCTATTAGAATCACTATCCAAAAAAAGATGAGAGTTAATAAGTGTTGGCAAGGATGTGGAAACAAGAAAACCCTTGTGCACTGTTGGTGGGAATGTAAATTGGTTCAGCCACTATGGAAAACAGAATGGAAGGTTCTCAAGAAATTAAAAATAGAGGTAACATGTGATCCGGCAACTCCACTGCTGGGTATCCATCCAAAGGAAAAAAACCAGGACATCGAAGAGGTATCTGCATTCTCGTAGTTGTTGCACCATTATTCACAGTATATCGAAACAGTAGATACCAGTTACAAGATACGGAAGCAACCTAAGCTTCTGTCAACAAATGGATAAGGAACATATATACATATATATAATATCTTATCATATATCTTCTAGTATCTCATATACATATATACATACGATGGGATACCATGCAGCCATGATAAAGAAGGAAATCTGGCTATTTGTGACAACATGAATGGAACTTGAGGGCATTATGCTAAGTGATGGAAGTCAGAGAAAGACAGATCTATATCACTAATATGTGGAAGCTGAAAAAGTCTAACTCATAGAAACAGAGAATACAGTGGTAGTTACTCCATGCTGGGTGGTGGAGGGAAACAGATGTTGGTCAAAGGGTACACACTTCCAGTTATGAGATGAATAAGTTCTGGGAATCTTTGTACATATGGTGATTATAGTTAATAATACTGTATTATACTGAAAGTTGCTATGAGAATAGATCTTAAATGTCCTCACCACAAAAAAGAAATGGTAATTATGTGACAGAATGGAGGTGTTAGCTAATGCTAAGATGGTAATCATTTTGCATTATATAAGTATATACCTTAACATCATATGTCATCTTAACATCATATGTCAATTATATCTCCATAAAGCTGGCAAAAAAATAGACCCAGGGGTGCAGGGGAGAAAAGCTTGTATTTTCCATTCTCAGTGGCATCAACAGGTCCCTCCTGTAAGACTGAGGTTCTGAGTTCTGTCTATCTTTAGCCAGCCTGAGAGTATAGGAATGAGTCTGTGTTCCCATCCCTCCTCTAATATAAGCCACTCATTCTAATCCCCACCATTTGCAATGCCCCTTCTTTGGACTGACCTCAGGGTCTGGGGTTTCCAGTCACTCAATTTAAAACTCAAATAAATATATGTAGCATATCCAAAAATAGGCATAGGGAGAAATACGATGTGATAGTATTGGAGTTCCCCACGCCCACAACGGACCACATATTTTTCGACTCTGTATTTTAGGAGTTGATGTTTCACACTATTACTGAAAAAAAAAAAAAAAGGAAGTTTGAAATATTTTCACAATGGATATAGCTAACTGAATGTACTAACTACCATGGATCATGGTCTCTCTCATGTCTTATAGTCACATTCCCGTGTCCCTGCAATGTTCTTCCCAATAAAGAGACACATGGTGGTGAGTAGGGGCACATGACCACCTCTATCACTCAGTGCTTCATCCAGGATAGGTAGAGTGCTCTTACCAACAAAATAGACATTGTGCCCTCGTGCTTGGTGGTGGCTATCTGGTTTCAAACTGATTAAAGGTGTTTGTTTTTGTTTGAAATGAAAGGGAAAAGAATATACGAGTAACAGCCAGTAGCCACACCAAATTGCTACCAGCTGTCCTGCAGTTAGGCCTAAGGGGCGAGCATTCTTTTTACAATTGGGCAGCTTTCTCATATTAAAGTTTACTGTGTGTTTTAGAAGACAGCCAAAATTTTACTGACTTTTCCAGATAAATTTAAGGATACTGAACATATTGACGACTGTTGGAAATTTTGGGAATTTAAAAAAATCTAGTTTTGAAATCAAAGCACTTATTTATAATTACAACGTTCTTGGAATCCCCGCCTGCTCCCCACCCTCCCCCCAAAACAAAATGTGACTGGGGGAATATCTGTTAGAAACACATGGAAGGCCCTCTGATTCTCTTAATATTCTCAAGACAACCAAGCATCCTTAAATGAGTTTCATTTTTCTTTCCTTGCTTGTCCACAAAATAGAAGCCTATCTAAGCTGAGTACCTCCTCCCAAGTACTATGGCTGGGTTCTCTTTGGCACTGACTGGCACATCTTCACGGTATTGAATCCTCCTTTTATATCTCAAATTGAGGGCTCTTTCACATACATAACCTTGGCCTCTGGTATTTCAACAGGTTTCTCTGCTCAGCTGCTATTAGAACCTGCCTTTACCCCTCCAAATTATATCCCATTTTCTCTAGAAGAATTTCCTGATGTCTCCTTTCCTCTTTTCTATCTGCCCAGTGGCAGAGTGGTCTTGTGGTTTGGGTCCCGTGGGTGCTTTATATAGGCTGGTCTGTCATCTTCAGGCTTGATACAAAGTCCTTGGTGGCTAGGAATTTAAAGCTGCCTGGGCTGATAATGGCTGAGGTGGACCCAGCCTGAAAAGGATAGTTCCTGGAGACCCTGTTTGCTCTTCATCTCCTCCAAATATGCCTGTTAATGCAGTGTCTGGCATCCTAACTGAAGAGAACTTTCCAGAAACTTAGGAATTAGAGATATCAAAGCTATTTCTTGCAAATCTTAAGATTACAATGTACTAACTTTTGTTTCTTTTCCCCTTTAATGTGATTTCCTGTGGGGCCTTCCTTTCCTGTTAATAGAATGGAGGTAAGATATCTCTGTCACATCATGTTTTGTTGTGATTTTTTGTTTGCCATTTATTGCTATTTGCCAAATACTGTAATCTTTCAGAAACCTTCTAATGAAGATAGGTAAAGTCTATTGAATACTTACTATGTATGCATCAGACACTGTGCTAAGAACTTTACATGCATTATTTAAATTTATCCTGGGGCACATGGGTGGCTCAGTTGGTTGAGCGTCTGATCTCAGCTCAGAGCATGATCTCACAGCTCATGGGTTCAACCCCTGCATCGAGCTCTGTGCTGACAGCTCAGAGCCTGAAGCCTGCTTCGGATTCTGTGTCCCCCTCTCTCTGCCTCTCTCCCATCACACTCTGTCTCTGTCTCTCAAAAATAAAATAAACATTAAAAAAATTAAATTTATCCTCAGGACTTCCCTATGAAATAGGTACTATTATTACTCCTAGCGTACAGAATAGGAACTAAGAGAGTTTCTTTGAACTGGAGAGTTCCAGTGACTTATACAAATAGTAAGTGACAGGCTTGGAAATTGAACCCAGAACAGACTTCCCAATTTCCACTCATAGTTTTATCCTGTAGATAAGAAAGTATCACCTTGTAATACAATATTTTGCAACTTACAGTGTTTTATTTTCAGTAAAATTGATGGACTTTCATAAAACTCTGAAGTGTCATAACTTTTCATCTAATTTTACAAGCAGCAAAACTGAAATTCAGAATTATCAATTAATAATACTGATAATTATAATACATGTGTTGTGGTGACATTTATGATCACCACTTTTTTTTTCATATTAACATTTCAGTGACTTTATAGGCCAAGACCTCTGAGTATTCCTATTCTTTAACAGAAGGAACCTGATACACTAGGAGCTGTCCAGACCACACAGCTGGCCAACTATAAAGCTGTCAATCTGAGCTCAGGTAGACAGACTCAAGAACTTAGACTGGTAACTACTCTACTAACCCAGATAGCACAGTTACTGAGCAGGACCTAGAACTCCAACCACTGACTCTAATTCCATGGAATAAAATAAGTCATTGCATTAGAAAACTTGGTTAGTTCTCAATCTTGTGCCAATTCATGCAGTTTTGATGCATTCATTGCCTTATCACAGTTCTAAGAGATAGTCCTGTCCCCAAGGATTCTACAGTGAAACTGAGTATCTACTGAACAGATATACAACATAAACGTGGTAAAAGTTAAATTAAAACACGGGCTACCAAGAAAAGAGATGCCATCTTTCCTTCACATGCCATTCATTCCTCCTGTCCTTCCTATGCATTTTTATTTATTTATTTTTAATGTTTATTTATTTTTGAGAGAGAGAGACAGAGCACGAGCAGGGGAGGGGCAGAGAGAGAGGGAAACAGAGAATCTGAAGCAGGCTCCAGGCTCTGAGCTGTCAGCACAGAGCCCGACATGGGGCTCAAACGCACCAACCGTGAGATCATGACTTAAGCCAAAATCAAACGCTCAACCAACTGAGCCACCCAGGCGTCCCTTCCTATACATTTTTAAACCACTCACTCTATTTCTGACATTATATTGGAATGCAGAAAAACAAAACAACTTGCATGTATTCACTGCCCCCAAGGAATTTACATTTTACTAGGGGTGTACGTGCACACACAAAGATTAATTACAAGACAACACAATAATGGAAACATGAACAAATTCCAAGGACTCAAGGACAGAAATAAATCATTCAAATGCAAGTAAATGCAAATGAAAAAGTTAAAGCTAAAGAAAAAGTCCATACTATTTTTCACCTGTGGTAACGTAAGCACTCTCGAACTGCTGGTAGAGGGAAAACTGCTGTAACCTCCCTAGAGAGCATTTGGCAGCTTTTATTAAGAACCTTAAGACGGCTGTAGCTATTGATTGGATAAACCCACTTTTAGCAATCTATTTTAAGAAAATAATAAGTGTATGAGCAACAAAATTGAAAACGGTATTATATTTATTAGTGAAATTTATGAGTAATGTCAGTATCTACCAATAAGGGAAACTGTTGTGATTAAAAACCATGCTTTTGAAAAACTGTAATGGAACAGGTAAATGTTTATAATATCAGGCTAAGTAAAAATGCAGGATATAGGAGTGCCTGGGCAGCTCAATCTATTGAGCGTCGGACTCTTGATTTCGGCTCAGGTCATGACCTCATGGTTGGTGAGATCAAGCCCCACATCGGCTGTCAGCATGGAGCCTGCTTGCGATTCTCTCTCCCTCTCTCTCTGCCCCATGCACATGCGTGCACCCTCTCTCTCTCAAAATAAATTTTTTAAAATGCAGGATACAAAAGTATACTTACAGGATGATTCTAAATATACTTACACTGTATATACAACTATATATTATGTACATACACTATACACAGTATATGTAACACTATATATGCTTATGTATTTACTGATTATAACTGATATATGTACAAATATGTAAAATACACAGTGTTTATATATTTGGCTAATATAACTAATTTTCAAATTTTTAATTAAAAACTTTTTCTTCTTTACATCATCATTCCTTACATCTTTATTATACACAAAAACTAGGCATGAATTTCAATCCGGAGAACTACAAGAGGTGTTTTTCAGAGGACATCATGTCCTTCTTGAGGACACTGGATATGGCATTTCAGCAAAAGGACATTTGATCTATGTCACAGAGCAGGGGTTGGCAAATGTCTTCCATAAAGGCCCAGATATTAAATATATTTGGCTTTGTGGCCACACAGTCTCTATTGCAACTGCTCAGCTCTGCTGCTGCAGGGTAAAAAGCGCCGTGGGTGACTCATAAATGGTTGAACATGGCTCTGTTCCCAAAAAATGCTACTTATGGATACTGCAATTTGAATTTCATGTAATTTTCACTTCTTTTGATTTTTTTCACTTAAAAATGTCAACACCATTCTTAGCTCACAGGCAGTATAAAAACAGGCAGTAGGCAGAATTTGATCTGTGGATTCTATTTGCTGACCCCCACCTTAGAGAATCAATGATATACAGAGATACTAGGCAGGAAAGAATAAAAAATATTCCAGTTTGCTTTGGACAGTGGAAGGGGTGTTGAACCCGCCATCACACTTGTTAGGAAAGTGCAGTTGCTACATAAGGGAACACTTGCAGGGCAGTTCCGCCTTATCCACAAGTGATACGTTCCAAGACCCCCCCCCCAGTTGACGCCTGAAACACAGAAAGGCCTGAACCCTACATATACTATGGTTTTTTCCTGTATATACACACCTGTGGTAAAGTTTAATTTCTAAATTAGGCGTAGTAAGAGATTAACAACAGTAATCACATGACAGAACAATGATAACGATATACTGTAACGAAAGTTGTGAATGTGGCCTCTCAGACTATCTTATTTGCCGCACTCACCTGTCCTGTGATGCTGCGAGAGGACAAAATGCTTAGGAGGGGAGGCAAAAAGAGGTGAGTGACGCAGGTGTGAAAGTGTGGTGTGACCTGTGACCTTCTGCTGCTGCGTCAGCAGGAGCATCTGCCTCTGGCCCTTGGCTGACCGCAGGTATGAAACCAGGACAAGCAAAACCTCGGATAAGGAGGAAAACGCTGCCCCAGAGGAGAGCTCTCAGCCGTGCCCCGCCCAGGGAGGGTGGAGAAACGTGCGAGAGTTTCCACTGGAGGAGCGGGGCTGCCTTAACCCAAACTAGACTCAGCTGGCCCTCTGGAGGTGCCCCCGGGGCAAAGTAATGTGTGTTCAAAGGGAGAAGAGGTCTCCTTCGTAGAAACTGCAAGATCACATTTAAAAGTGCTCTATCCATTCCTTGATTTCTCTTCCTGTCGCTTCATTGTTGGTGAACAGGTAAGGGCATTAAGGAAGCTACTCCTGAAATCATTGCTGCACTATACGCTAATTTGGATGCAAATTTTAAAAAGTAAAATAAAAAAAAAAATGCCCTACTGGATGTGATTCCTCTCTGTTAAAGCGGAGAGAAATAAGAATAAAAGGTGTAGTGAGGCTCCTTTAAGTGTTCAGTTTGACCAAGCAGAGTTGTGTGTTTTAAGTTAAAGGAGGGACCTGAGATCATATATCCACTGCTGTCTCTGAAAAGGAAAAACTTTACAGAAAGGGAGGTCAGCCAGGTTTCATTTGTCAAGAGGCAAGAGAGGGACTGGCACCACGTGCAACGTGAACCAGCATTTTTGGAGCTTGTCCGGCAGACCATTCCAAAATAACCAGCATTCTGTGAACAGATCCCTGTGACCTCTGCCCCACTGTTCGTAGGACAGACAGGACCCGCTGCTTTCGGGGTTGCTCCATTTGTAGTCCCCAGAGCTGTGAGCAGGGAAACACAACTTCAGTTGAACAGGGAGGGGTCTCGTCATTTGCAAAAGAGAGCGGAAGATACCCGTGGAGATTTTTTGCATTCATCTCGTCCCCCAGTTTTTGCCATGAGCTCCTGTTAAAACGTTTAAGTGATAGGGTTAGGAGGATGAGGAACAATGGCCCCACGTGCCTCCGGCTCTTGCCTCTAAAATTTGATCACCACAAAAAACTACAGGTTTATGAGTCTGCAAAAGAGAGAGGAAAAAGAAAAGTTGTTTAAACTCTGAAACTCTGGGCAGTCTCTGTATATGTGTATGTGTATATATTATTATACATAACACATATGTATTTGGTCCTGTATATCCTTGACCTTGTACAGCTAATCCTAGCATAGATGTATTTCCAAAGCTAAGTCTTTAATGCCCCTAGGAACATCACAGAGGCACAGATAATTAGTAAGAACCATATATGTTGTATTGTATGGTTTTTTTTCCCAGCAGGCAAAGGGTTTTCACAGGTTACTTCTCTGCAAGCTGGTAGAAAGAACCAAAATGACGACCAAGATCTCATTTCTATTCAATACGTATTCTGCTGTTTTTTCTTTTTTCTTTCACATTAGGTAACTAATAAATAAATGAGGACTCAATACTATCGGGCCAACTGAGGTTGTTTCAAAGATTTTTCTTGGCTTTTATTAAGACAGCCAGCAGAAATACACACAAAGAGATTGCTTATTAATTGCCAGTAATCCTCATTTCTGAGGCTATTTTTATTAATTTTTCTTTTGTATACCTTTTCTGTTTGTTTGGTTTTTTGCTTATATAGTTAAAGGAAAAAGCATGAATTTTTTAATTCAAAAACTACCTATGGAAAAATAAAGAGAGTCATTCAATGGTTAATACGTGATGGCAGAACCTGGATGAATAATGCTCAGCCAAGAAACACTAGGGGAAATATCTAACTTTTACATGACATGGTTTTTGTTTTAAATGAAAAGAATCCTGCCTGCTTTTATCTATCCCCCAAGGTATTATACCAAGGTATTATATTAATATGTGACACCATTTGGTAAACCAGTCTGAAGTATTTCTGGGTATTAGGTATTATTCTTCAGTTTCTTAGAGCCCAGCATCTTTGCTTCTCTTGAACTTTCTTAGTGTTACCATAGGCCAAGTTTCCTTGGGTGTTAGCTCAACCTTATCTGGCCCAAGTTTTCATGAGAGTTTTCTGTTTCCTTATTCAAGGCCTTCATTTAAAAATATTTTTTAGGGGCGCCTGGGTGGCTCAGTCGGTTAAACGGCCGACTTCAGCTCAGGTCATGATCTCGCGTCCGTGAGTTCGAGCCCTGCACCGGGCTCTGAGCTGTCAGCACAGAGCTGAATGTGGGGCTTGAACTCGGGAGTGGGGAGATCATGACCTGAGATGAGGTCAGATGCTCAATCAACTGAGTCATCCAGGCACCCCAGGCCTTCATTTTTAAAATGAACTACGAACTAGAAGTAATGCAATAAAATCATGCTGGCTAATTAGTAAAAGGCTAGTATGAATTAGAGAAAGATTCTATATTATAAAACATTATTTCAAAGTATAATATTTCTTGAAAGTTCACTGTTTTACCTGAATGAGCTGTATACCATTTAATAGATTTTCTTTAAACACTAGTCAATGATGGTTTCTAATCCAAGTATCAATTGTTTGAATTCAAATGGGGTCTCTTCACAATTTAAAAAATTTCCCACAAATTCCAACTTAATTTTCTTAAAATCCTTTATATAAAGATAATGAGGGGCGCCTGGGTGGCGCAGTTGGTTAAGCGTCCGACTTCAGCCAGGTCACGATCTCGCGGTCCGTGAGTTCGAGCCCCGCATCGGGCTCTGGGCGGATGGCTCAGAGCCTGGAGCCTGTTTCCGATTCTGTGTCTCCCTCTCTCTCTGCCCCTCCCCCGTTCATGCTCTGTCTCTCTCTGTCCCAAAAATAAATAAACGTTGAAAGATAATGAAATGTGAAGTTCCAACAGTTGTACACATCTAAATGAGAATACAACTTAGTTTTCTGTCATTGTTAACAATATAGATCTGATGGAAAGCCTAAGAACATGTTGAGACCATCACAGTGTCTATATATAATAAGTGCTCAATAAATATGTGACGGGGAAGTATAGGAGTTATTATCTTAATTCCCAGCATTCCGCTAGGGGGCAGTGGATGAGTGCAGAGAGTACCAGCAGTATTTTTCCATTCTGCCTATTATTCTCCTCAGTTGTTACAGCAGATAAGCTTTTAACCTTATTTTTGTGCTAGCTCTATAGAATTTAGATTTTTTCTTCATATATTACCCATTAACACACAATCTGAGTTCCAAATAATTCCTTACATCACTCAACAAATTAGAACCTTGGGGCTCTGGGTGATCAGATGACTCTCCCCAAATCATGTGAAGAGAAAACAGCAAAGCTAAAGATGCTACTTAGCTCCTTTGAAAGCCATATCCAAGCTTCCTCCTCCCTATGTGGCTTTCTTTTTCTTCTTTAATGAAATGCTGGGAAGACGTCTGAGTGAGAGGATCTGAGGATAGAAGGTGTTGCAAAGATGCATGTGTTCCACAAAATTCAGGTATTTAATAATCATAACACATAAACCTATGTTCAAAAACCTGGCTCACCACAATTATTATGCTTAATCATTTGTTAATCATCACAATGAATATGTTTTTCAGATGTCTTTTACTCGCTTAAATCAGCTCCATTTGTAAGAAGCATATGAGGTGGCTTAACTAAGAGTAGTTAAGTTCTATTTATAGTGTAAACAATAAAAACACTCAAATCTATTCAGTCCTTGATAGTTCTCAAAGCTGTCCACATCCATTTTCACATACAATCTTATAATAACCCTCTGGAGTAGCTGGAGGTGATATAATTACAGCTGGAAATGAAATCAGTATTCAGATAGAACATTTCAGCCAATTTGCTAGTACAATCTTCTCCTATTTCTGTGATGCAGAGGTGGAAATCAAAAAAAAAAAATGGACTGAAGGCTAAGAAACACCATTTGATTGGGTACGTTGTTCATTTCTTCTTTCAGTAAATTACAGAAAGATAACAAAGGCTACTGCGCCCAGTACAGAGGGGAGGTATGTAATGCTGTCCTGGCCAGAGACGCTCTTGTTTTCTTCAACAACTCCTATGCACACCCTGAGGAGGCCCAAGAATTACTGGTTCACACGGCCTGGAATGAACTGAAAGCAGTGAGCCCGTTTTGCCGGCCAGCTGCTGAGGCTTTGCTGTGTAACCACATCTTCCAAGAATGCAACCCTGGAGCAGTACCTACTCCTACACCCATTTGCAGGTAAAATAAAAGAAGAAAGAAATGGGAAAATTATTTTGATTGCAACAGGAAGAGTTTTCAAAAGAAGTTGTCATGTGCAACAATAAAGGCAAAAGATGGCTTTTGCCCAAAACAGAAGGTAATTAATTGGACAGAATTCCTACCATCTAACTCCCTGATGACCTCCTATAATACAAGGACTCTAAGCTTCTAGAAAATGTCATAAAAGGTACAATATTCTCACATACTTGCTATTTTTCATATTGTTGTCATATTCATAAATATCCCTACTTTCTATGAAATAAATATATACAACCTGAACAAACATGGACCTCATGAGTAAGCTAAGATAGCGAAGAGAAAATGTCCGTTTCAAATGTTTCAGCATTATTTGCCAATGAATAGGAGATCTTGGTGAGCATTTCAGAATATTATTTTATATCATATGTATATTATTTTAAAATACATTCCACCCAGTGCTCTTACTGAAGTACTAACACCCTTTCTCACGGGGGGGGGGGGGGGGGGGGGGGGTTGTAATAAATAGTTATTTCTTTAAAACCCGCATACTCTTTAAACATGGAAATTCATAAATCCATATTTGATAGAATTATCTTTGCCTTTATTTACTTCTTATGGAGAAAAGATAGGAAGCAATCTGGCTTTTGAGCCAAATAGAATACTGTTTTCAAACACTATTTGTACTTCTTTCTAGATACATGTGACCTTGGCTAACCAGTTTCCTCATCTGTAAAAGAGAGAGGATTAAAAGATCAGTTGAACCCATGGTATATGTTAGAAATGGACATTGTTTGCTTTTGAAGAAAACACATGAAAACTACCACCTCTGTTTTGATAAAACCAGGCCATTATTTTTAGCTTTTACATATGATTGCATCATCATATATCCAACTACCTGGTAGAGATCTCTGTTATTTATCCCTCATCCTCACTGTCATTTATATTATAGAAAATCTTTCAATTTCTTAAGTTCTCAATTTCGATTCATCTCTTGTTCAGCTAGAGTAGATGATTTTTAGAAGATTACATGTAAACATTTTTCACCATAATGTTGTGATCGTGTGTGTGTGTGTGTGTGTGTGTGTGTCTGTGTGTGTATTTCTCACTGACTATTTATTTAGGTCTTATGTTACATTCAGTTTTCCTCAAAATCTTGTGCACTCTAATTGTTTTTTTGGCTGTGTTGTAATGAAGAACATATAGGGCAATCCTGAATTTTGTTCCTTTGTAGGGAATATTTTTCTCTTGGCAAATGGTAGGAGGATTCTTTTTTAATCTTTGAGATTCACAATATTTGTCAAATTCATCTGGGAGTAATTCTTTTTTCATTATTTTCTTTCCTATAATTAATACAAAAATAATGGATATGTACCTTAATTATCAGGTTTACCTCCTTCTTGTCCTAACAATGTTTTCTTTTAGTATATCTTTGAGTATTTTCCATTTTTTCTGTGCTCTAGTTTTCTTATTGGGAAACATTATCCGAACTCTGGGTTTCTTCCTGGCTCTTCCATCTCAGCTGTCTCCTCATACATCATTTTCACTGTTCATGCATTCTGTCTGCATTCAGTTTGGACTTGTAAAGTTTTCCTCTGTTACTTGCTCAATGTCTTACAGTGACATTTCTTTACTGATTTTAATGACAATTTTACTTTTGGTGTTGATTTCACTTCTTTGTGGTCTTTATTTTCTTCAGTTAACTTAGTTTTCAGTTTATTTTCCATTTCATCCTGATTTTTTTCCTTGCAAAAGACTCTTCTATAGGGGTCATCTTTAATACATGGCAACGGAAGCAAAACAAAACAAACAAACCTTTCTCTAATGCGTTCTTCCGATTAGAATAAAAAATAGCTTTCCAGGGTATTTGCTTCCTGCACATGATGTGGGCTGTGGAGTTTCTTTCACCTGCCCCCTACTGATTTTTGCACAGTTTAACTGTGCTGTATGAATGCAGAAAGTTGTGTTTGTGTGATCCCAGGGTGGGGGGGCCAAGGCATAAGCAGAAGCAAGCTAAGTAATTCTCCTCTGGTTTTTCAGGCTCTCCTCTGGTTTTCAGAGGCTTGAAAGCCTCACTGCTCTCCCTTCCACTGCGGACACATCAAGAACTCAAAATCCTATTGTTGTTCTCATGACTCCTATTGTACCCTATCACAGTCATCTGCAAAGCCCTTTCATTCCACACATGTTCAGTTGGCCCTTACTGACAGGTGGTTGCCCAGAAAAGTGGCAGTGTAGGCATGACTATTTTAAAAAGACACCATTATGACACAGATATGTATATGCACACACATACATACACAACCACAAATTCCTTCCTCGCTGAATCCTTTAGCTATTGAATGAACAACATTGCTATTATCTCTAATTTCTTTAATAATCTCTAATTTCCTTTTATTTTTAATCCAAAATGTCTTACTTTGGAGTTAACCAGGTTTCTCCTATGTAGTCTTATCCTATTTTTTATAAGATAAGCTTGAATAAGTATTAATGCACAAAATTATAATTAGTATAACTAGTCTTTCTTCAGTCTCTTCATTTACAATAAAACACATGAATGAACATAACATTTCATATTCAAGTAGACATTACCCTGACTTTCTCAGATGGAAGCAAATGCGGAAATGGGATAGGGGGTGGCTTCTCCAAGGCCAGGGTGGATAGGACCCATATGCCCTCCTGTAACCTGCCAGGAAGGTGATGTCTTCTGTTCTGATGGGCAAAGCATTCAGACAGGCCAACTGTGCCCCTCAGTCCCTGCCCATTAGCCCTGAGATTACAGGAGAATCTCTCAGGCTAGACACTGATTGACAATGACCTATGACTTTTATTATGTGTATTTTTTAAACTCCATGCACCTTGTTTCTGTGCCTTTGTAATTATTTTACTATGAATATGAGGGAATGCATATCAGGGATTCCTTTTTGAGCTTAAAAATTCTTTTCCCCCTCAGTAGTGTTAGCTACACTATGAAAACCAAACAAGACAGCATTTCGTCTCAGGGATATACACTGTATTTCATAAAGTCTCACATTATTTACGATAAAGGATCCTTTAAAAAATGCTTTTGCAAGAGCAGACAATGTACTGTGATGATATTTTTGAAAATACAGAATCTAGGCTCTGCCACAAATTTGGCTTTAACATGCTGTGACTCATCAAGTTTTGTTCTCCCTAAAATATTTTAGAGAATACTGCCTGGCAGTAAAGGAGCTCTTCTGTGCAAAAGAATGGCTGGCAATGGAAGAGAAGACTCACAGAGGACTCTACAGATCTGGGATGCACCTGCTCCCTGTGCCAGAATGCACCAAACTCCCCAGCATGCACTGGGACCCCACGGCCTGCACCAGACTGCCATATTTAGGTAACAGAGTTCTCTCGATACTTTAGAGGTTACGGCAAATTTACTATTTTGAAGAAACTAAGTTGTGAGCTTAAATCTCCTAATATTTCTAAGCATTTCTAACTTATTTTTTGAGTTCTGCCCTTTTTAGAGACCTAATCACAAAATCCTACTGTCCACCCTAATTGCACAGGTCAGCATAAGAGTTTACTCCATTTGGTTCAAAAAGAAATTAAAGAGCACTTTTAACTGCTGCTTAAGATCTTATTTCATAAGGGGATCTTATGAAAGCTTGTAACGGTTTTTGGAATGTGCAGAGAATGGCTAAGAAACCTCATATTATGTCAGATGAGTGGAATAAAAGAATAAAGTCCCCCTTCTTAGCCAACGAAGCAGATTTCTAAGCATGCAAAAATAAGCCACATGGTTGAAAGTGCTGATCTCACAAAACAAAGCTGAATCGCTGCATGTTGTTTAATGAACTTCGTTTGTAAAGAGCTATGTTGTTAGCCCTAACAGCTGGTTTAATTTCAATGACACAATCCCTTCTCATTCGAATGCAAAGCATGTTGACCAGTTGTATGCTGAAAAGCTGAAAGAGAACTTGCATTTCTTAGCACTCTCTCACAGAATATGTGAGATATCTGGATGCTCATTTAAAACAAATTTTTATCCTTTCCCCCTCAGATTATAAAAAAGAAAACTTAACAAGTAAGTAATTTTGTTTGTGCCCTTGAACCCTTCCTTATGTGTATGTAATTGGATTCGTGCATGCGTATTTACACTCCTACTACATGATGTCCAGAACAGGATGTACGTCCCTTCTCAAAGGCTGTTTTCCTCTGCTTACTGGGGTAAAACATGAAGGAAGATCATCAGAGATCTCAGCTTACAGCTTCTAATCAGGCCATGAAGAGCAGCATATTTAGTGAATGATACAAATGAGATCCCCTACCCCAAGGTTATAACTTGCTTTATCCTTTCAATGGCCACAAAATAAGCAACTGAAAATGCCACCTTCTGATTTTGCATTCTTGATTTTTATACCATCTAATTATTTACAGATGAAAACAAGTATTTATTTCTTCATTGAGCCAATTCATGATCTTCATTTGTGACAAGAGATCTTTCCTTTGGAAGATATGTTTTTTAAGACATCTGATTTCCAGTATGAAGTTTACAGGGTCAAATCAAATGTTTGGGTTTTTTTGTAATGTTTAATTATTTTTCAGAGAGAGAGACAGAGCACAGGCAGAGAGAGAGAGAGGGAGACACAGACTTGGAGGCAGGCTCCAGGCTCTAAACTGTCAGCATAGAGCCTGATGCAGGGCTTGAACCCATGAACTGTGAGATCATTACCTGAGCCGAAGTCAGACACTTAACCGAGTCACCCAGGAGCCCCCAAATCAAATGGTTTTAAAAGTGGATGCCTCCAAATCCCTAGGAAGGAACTCAAGATGGTTGCTTGCAAAGAGAGGCCTAGACACGAAGTTGAATCAGGTGATGCTTTAACCCTACCAGAATGCAGAAATCTTCAGAATGAAATTGGAAGAGTTTTTCATTTCAATTAACTTCCTCTGATTTGAGCTTTCTAGGGCTTCAATCATACTCATTTCCTATGAGGTATATTCTGGGCCTAATTGCCTCTGCACCTGGCAAAGTGCCAGGCCTTGATTTTACCAGCTTCCTTCAAGAACTAAGACTTAAAAGTATAAAAAGAAAGAATGCTACTGGTCCCACTTGAATCACTCAGCATTAATAAACAAGAGAGGTATGGAAACCCTATAAATTATTATTCTGCAAGCCTGTCAAATTGTTATTTCCAAATTGAAGGAATGAAAAAGAAATGCTTCAATCCTTTGTCATATAAGTAGCTAAAGCCTACTTTGACTGGACTTTTAATTGGCAACGGTGGTCTTTGTTACCCTTTGTTTACTCATTCATCCATTCAAGCACTCACTGGGGGTTTACCATGTGGAAGGTGCCGACCTTCAGTCCTAGATCAGACAGGGACACACAGAGAAAGCATCCATGTTTCTGCCTTGTATACTGATTCTAAAAATTGTTAGCTACAACTAGCTAACAATAAACCAATTTCCTACTCTTAACCTATTTTTATGAAATCTTTGGTACATGTCAGAAAATGAACTCCAAATGTCATAAACGGATCATTTCACCTGACCATGTCATGGAGAATTGTCTAAAAGTATGCTCCCTGGTTAAATGCAATTATTACTGAAGAAACCGGCTTGAGCTTCTCAGGCAGGTTGCTAGCTAAGCAAAGAAGTCATCCTTATTCAGTCGAGTGTCCATATTTTACGGAATGTATAAAGCCCTCAAATATTTCTTGAAGTTTCTTGATTTCTGAGTAAACTCTATAAAGGGTATTGCCAGTTCACTTAGAAGGGTGACAGAAGATTTTTTTTTTTTTGCTTGAACACGCGATGTCTTTGTACTATTTACTTTGTCTGCTGAGCAGACATCTCACTATTCCTGAGTTCCACAAGGCTGCACATACTTCGTGTGTTTCCTCAGATGGCTTTGTGGGTGACAGAGTCTCTGTTTCCTTGCAATGTTCAGATTAGCTTGCTTTCACCTGCATAGTTAAAAGTTAAATGAGCTGGACATAGCCTTGAGTGACATTTCTTTTTCTCTCAGGAATCCGTAGATGTGATTTCACTCTTTTCCAGCTTCTAGGTTTGGAAATGACTGGTCGTCTGGTATGAGTCTGCTTACTTTTTCCTATAAGCAATGTGTTTCTGTTTTGAAAGCAACTTCGAGGATTTTCTCTTTATCCTTGTTATCCGCATAGTGGAAATCCTATGTAATGGGGCGTCACGGAACATCTCTTTCCAACTCTGCATTCAGGACCTTCTTTGTCTTCGTAGCTTGAAATCGGCCATGGAGGTCAGGCTGCAGGCAGGTGATATTTCTAAAGCAAAAGGCTGATCACGCTACTCCACTGTTTAAAACCCTCTGATGATTCTCTCCATTTACTGCAGGGCCAAGTCCAAATTATGTACTTGGGCATGCAAGGCCTTTTATGACCCAGACCTGGTATCCACAGCCTTACCTAGACACACTCCCCCAACTCAACAATGAAACTTTCAGATGCATTTTTAGGGAAGCATGCCGACTCCTTGGTTTGGACCCTGATACATGCCACTCCTTCTTTGTGGAACACTACCTCCCTACTTGCCCCCTGCCCCCCCCCCCACTCCACCCACACACACATACCTTCGACTGTTTGTTCCCTTTTTATTCAACTTAAACACTTACTCCAGAAAACCTCCCTAGTTTGCCTAAACCTAGAATTGAGCTGTCCCAGGCCGTTCACAAGCTTATCAGTCTTACAACATTTTATTATAGTTACATTTTATTAGAATTATCGGTTTACAAATTATTTCCTAGCTAAATACCTTAACACAAAGACTTGTCGTGTCCACCATAGTACTCTTGAGACCCAATGTCAATACTAACTTAATGACTACCTTAATGTATGGATGAATGAGTGAATAAAAACTCCCCTGATGTTCAAAGGAAAAGGGTGGAGGTAAAATTGATGACAGAAGACAAAGATAAAAAGATGCTGGAGATCTGGATTGATAATTTAGATTCAAAGAGATCATCGATGTCCCTCTAGGGAAGGCCACAGCAAACAGATCAGAGGCAATAAACAAGGAATAACAAAACTAGCCAGAAAGGAAGATATAATTAAATCCATAAAGCAAAATTATTGTTCAAACAATGCCAATTTTTGCATTTTGAAAATAAATCTTACTAAGTCCTCATGGATCACTCTCTTAATATGTGTGTTTTTTTTTTTTTTTTTTTTTTTTTTTAGAAAGAGAAAGAGACGGAGACAGAGTGAGAACAGGGGAGGGGCAGAGAGAGAGACACACACACACAGAATCCAAAACAGGCTCCAGGCTCTGAGCTGTCAGCACAGAGCCTGATGTGGGGCTCAAAACCACAAACCGCGAGATCATGACCTGAGCTGAAGTCAGGCACCTAGCCCACTGAGCCACCCAGGCTCCCCAATATGTGTGATATTTTTGATTAAAAAAATTATCCTTATATTTACTAATGAGATTATACTACCAATTTTACAAATTACATTGCATTCCTTTCCATGTTAAATAAGTATGAACTGCCCTATAAAATCCAGATACAAAAATAGTCACCTCTTTCTGCCTTTCAATGATTACTCCTACTTTATTATTAGCAGGAAATCTAGCTTTCCCCTCCGCACCCATCTTGGATTGATTTTTTAAAAAACCTTCATATGACTCAGTCCAAAGAAAGTCAGATCGGCTTTCAAGCCAATCATAAAGGAACCTGGGAAGGCTAAGTCCACTGTTGTTGTGACACCTGATGAGAAATGCTGTCATTGCTCCGAAATGCACTGCTGTGCTGTTCCTCCAGTTCCAGTCCTGTGCTGATGTTCTTCCTGTCACAGAAGGGACCAAACTTGGTCTCCATGGGCTTTAAAGCCATTTGCCAGCTACCAGTGCTCAGGCCGTAATAACTGTGTCCACTGCTACACTAAGAAGTCCTACATGGACACCCCTTGTAATCTCTGCTTTTGCAAGTGTCCTATTTCAAACTCTTCAGGCGTCTGCTGCAATAAAAGTTTTCTTTTGATTTTGTGATGTGTTATATTAATATATGTCTGTATATCAAACATATAATTCTTTTGCTATATTGTAGCCACTTTCTAACATTTCGTTTAGGATTGTTTAAAGCTATGTTCCTTAATCTAGGAACGCACTTTTCTTTGGTGCTAATGTTGCCAGGGTGTGATATTAGTATTATAATAACTTTCTAAAATAATTTCATAGATTTTTCTCTTACTGTAACATTTTCTAAAATCTGGGAATTTTATTTCTTCTGAGACCAAAAGAATGTCTCTGTAATTCTATAAAGACTTTTAAATGTCCTGGTTATGACTATCTTCAGATTTTCTGATTTTTCCAATTTGGCAATGTGGTCCTATCATTTTTCTAAAGATTTAAAAACTGTTATTGCATAATTACATTCTACTATCATAACTCCTTTACCGTTCCTAATTTCATGTTTATGCTTTTATCTTTTAAAAATTAAAATCCTACTTACCAGACTACTTTAATAAAGATAAGACCAAACCTTGACCTATTTTTAAATTCTAGCATTTGTGGTATGTGTATTCTAACTTATTAATTACTGCTTGTACCTGGCTGTTACTTTATCATCTATTTTTGTTTTCTGTAGTTTTTGTTTCTTTTCCAAAGTCTTGAGTTAAACGTCTAGTTCATTCACTTTCATCCTTTTTATCTAATGGAAAGAGACAACACTGAGTTTACCATTGAGGACGGCTTTGGCCAAAGCTCGCATCCTCTATCAGCAAACTATTTTCTAATCTGTCACTGTGGCTACTTTCTGTGTAGGGTACAAAGGATATTGTTTGCTATTAGAACATTCTTGTCAATATTATTAAAATACCCTGTATCTGTGTTTTTGTCTTTACCAGTCAATTAAAAGAATATAAATTAATAAAGTTGTTTTCACAGATACACAGTGGACTTTGTACTCTACAGAGTGATATGAACATGGCTTCTGTCGGTTTCCAGGGAAATGCAGATTTTACCTTGTTTTCATACTGCATTGACTTTTTTTAAAAAATTTTAAATATTTATTTACTTTTGAGAGCAAGAGTGTGTGAGCAGGGGAGGGGCAGAGAGAGAGGGAGACACAGAATCTGAAGCAGGCTTCAGCCCTGAGCTGTCAGCACAGAGCCCGACACGGGGCTCGAACTCACGGGCCGTGAGATCATGACCTGAGCCGAAGTCAGATGCTTAACCGATGGAACCACCCAGACGCCTCTGCACTGACCTTTTTAATCGGAGTTTGACAGTTCAATTTTTAGATGAACTAAATTCTCATTTGTGTCTAATATTTCCACTCTTCATCTCCTATTATTTTTGTTTTGTTTGTAAATCAACAGTAAATGTGTATAAAAGCTCAACTTTAGACAGTCCTGTCCTCAAATATAATTTCATGAAATTATTTTATTTAATAACCTAACAATTTCCATAACTGTTGTCAGGTCATAAAAAACATGATGCAGTGTGAACAGCACTAACCCAGGATCTGCATTTGTCTTGGAAAAAAACAGCTCCTTTCTCTGGGTCTCATCTTTAAAATTCTGTGATTCTACAAGTTGGATTTACTTGCACCTCTGGATTATTACACTTGGACTTTAGAAATATATAACCAGGGATGACCTGATCCATAAAAACATATTCTTAAAATTAAATTTGGCTTACTAAACTTGCTTGACTTTAGCGAAGATTCCTTGACTACAAACATTGCTTCTTAAAAGTTTAAGAATGAATGAAAAAAATTATTGTTCACTTACAGCATTCCCACCAATGACGTCCTCAAAGCCAAGTGTGGACATTCCAAATCTGCCTTCCTCTTCTTCTTCCTCCTTGTCCGTCTCACCTACATACTCCATGACTGTAATAATCTCCATCATGTCCAGCTTTGCAATATTTGTGCTTCTTACTGTAACTACTCTTTATTGCTGCCGGAGACGAAAACAATGGAAAAATAAGAAAAGGTGAGATTCTAATTGAAGCTAATCACATGTAGTAATATATTAAAACCTATAAACTTAACATGGGAATTGGGGATGGGAAGAGGGATCTATACAACACGGCCAGTCTCTTTAGGACGTCTAATGCCTTGCTTTAAGATCAAGACCCCACCATGATCTTTAAAAATATCAATACCTTTTTGCAAAGGATCACATGTCCTAATGTTAACTTTTCACAGTAGAGAGAATCTAAACAATAATTTGGAAGAATATGGCTACTCCAGCTCAGCCCCATTGCTATGCCAACTGGATAGTGACAAAATTCCCGCAAAAAATGTGCTTTTTGACTCCAGACCAAACGAAATATTTCTTGCTCTAAAACTGAAGGTCTTCAGTTGCCTTAGTATAATTTGTTTTGTTTCCTCCTAGCATCCTCTCTCTTTAAAACCCGAGCCTGAGTACAAAGATCTCACCTGACCCTGAGCTCATTATCAATCTTGCCTGTCTTACCTGCAGAGAGTCAGCGGCGGTAACCCTCACTACTCTTCCCTCTGAGCTCTTACTAGACAGACTTCATCCCAACCCCATGTACCAGAGGATGCCACTCCTGCTGAATCCCAAACTGCTGAGCCTGGAGTACCCAAGGAATAACATTGAATATGTGAGAGATATTGGCGAAGGAGCATTTGGAAGGGTCTTTCAAGCAAGGTAAAGTTACCCATGTGAAAAATCTTTCCACCGAATTTGTACCTGAAAGGCTATGAGACCGCTCCTTTGATGCCTACGCTGAATGTATGATACCTATTATCAAATAATTCTTCACATCATTAACCTCATCTCATGGAGTACTTACACTCTGAATCTTAATAATTTTTTCTCTCTGCTGGAAAATAGGGCTGGGCAGAAGGAGAGAACCTTCATTTATGCTGTATTCAAATTATAAGCAATTAGCAAAGTTTAATTATATTTCCTTTTCAGAAATAATTTTATCACACATTTTAATCATAATTTCTTGCCTTGTTTTTAGTAAATAATTCTAAAATTTACTTCTCTTCCATTTTCTATTGCTATATTCTTCACTTCATCTAAAATTTACTTTGAACTAGTGTTTCCATTTAAGAATTCAGACTCTTGAGGCACCTGGGTGGCTCAGTCAGTTAAACGTCTGACTTCAGCTCAGGTCAAGATCTTATGGTTCTTGAGTTCTAGCCCCGCATCAGGCTCTGTGCTGACAGCTCAGAGCCTGGAGCCTGCTTCAGATTCTGCATCTCCCTCTCCTTCTGCCTGTCCCCCATTTGCATTCTGTCTCTCTCTCAAAAATAAATAAGCACTAAAAAAAATTTAAAAAAGAAGAATTCAGAGTCTGATACGTGTAGATATTAAATGGATGTCCATGGAGTCATATGATATTTGTCTTTCTCTGACTAATTTTGCTTGACCTCACTCATATGAGGACTTTAAAAGACAAAACAGAGAACATAAGGGAAGGGAAACAAAAATAATATAAAACTAGGGAGGGGGACAAAACATAAGAGATTCTTAAATATGGAGAACAGAGGGTTACTGGAGGGGTCGTGGGAGGGGGGATGGGC